CAAATACACTGACAGTTGTAAGAATAATTGAAATAATCTGATGTTTTGATTGTTTTTGATGAAATATTGTATATTTGCAAATAGCTATAGGCTGCAATTTACATTTTATTCATTTCAAACAGTATTTTTCAGGAAAAACTCGCAACAAATTGCAGTAGTGAAAATAAAAAGTTCCCATTTCCGTATTTTCTCATTTTAATTCAATCGTTAACTAATCTCTTATTGAGTAGAGAAGCCGATAAAGGACTAAATCTTAGATTACTATTATACTATACATTACTTGCCTTCTTGAACATTATGAACAGTAGTATATCTTATTACAGTCTGATGGATTATCCTTCTCTTCTAATTACAAAATCATGTAAATTGCTGCCTATAGCTATTTGCAAATATACAATATTTCATCAAAAACAATCAAAACATCAGATTATTTCAATTATTCTTACTACTGTCAGTGTATTTGCTTTTACTTCAGGTGGATCGATATTTATTTCAAGAACTGGTCTTCCATTAATCTTTACATCATTATTTTTAGATGGAGTAGTAAATTCTTTACAAGATCATATTTTTGAACAGTTTGAGGTATCATCAACCAACATGATGTTTTACTCAAACATATTCAATGTCTTTTTTAGTGCTACCTATATTATTATGGCCCATCAATGTATACCAATTGTAGCATTTTTAACCAATCAAAAAAGTGTTATTTTTGATATTTGTTGTTCCACAACCTTCGGATGTTTTGGACAAATCTTAATCTATTCAATGTTGAGCAGTCATGGATCTTTAGTATTAACAACGGTAAATATTACAAGAAAAGTTGTCTCAATTCTAATCTCCATAATATTTTTCAATCATGAGATTTCGACTCAGCAGATTGTAGGAATCTTTATTCTTATTGCTGCAATTTTTGTAGGTATTTCTGCTAAGAAAAGAAAACTCAGCCATCATAAGGAATAAATTACAATATAAAAAGCTCATTTGTTTATTACATAGTTCAGACGTATATTAACTATACTTACAATAGAATTAAATGATTTATTCTCAAGACTTTGTAGTGGTATTTCATAATTTAATCATATAGTATAAAATAGCTAGTTCAAATATCCTTCTGGTATTCAATATTTGAGGTATTTTTATAAACTGATGCACTTTTATTTATATCATTCTTTCTATTAACCCTTTGACTTACTGAGATTCTGAATAACTACAATACTCAAATGGTTTCTTTAAGTTGACTAATCAAATTTGTTTTTTTACCCCAAATGACTAAGCAAACACTTTCAATCTCTCCAATGGTTCTTCTTTCTGCAGTAGATCATTACAAACGCCAAAGTTATAAGCGAGTTATTGGCGTATTATTAGGTAAGATTGAGAAGTCACAAATCATTGTTACCAATTCTTTGGCTGTTCCGTTTGAGGAGTCAGAAAACCAATTTTTCCTTGATACATCGTATTTAATAAATATGTTTGAGTTATTCCATAAAGTTAACAATNCATAGTGGGCCCCAAATGTACAAAACAGATTTAAAAATTACAAAAACAATTGGATTATTCTGTGACACTCCAATTTTGGCGATAATTAATGTACATTTGGAATCTGATGATATTCCAGTACAAGCATTTAAACTGGGTGTTGATGAATCTCTGAATCATCTTAATGTAGTTATCGGAGCTGATGAAAATGAAGAGGTTGGAGTAGAACATTTACTAAGAAATATCAAATCTGGAACCGGAACTACATTAATGGATAAACTGAATAATATCAAAAATTCACTTATTAAATATTCTTCAAGTTTAGGGAATATTATTAGGTATCTCATGGAAATAGAGGATGGAAGAGAATCGAATCAGGAAATTTTGAAAGTATTGCAGAAGATTATTAATGGGATTCCCAAGTTGGGTGAGGATGTAGAAATGCAAGAAATTTATGGTGTGGAATTGATTAACACAGTTATTGCAATGAACGACTTAAAAAGAAATAAATTGGAGAGATCATAAGCTGGAATATATGTTGTAATAGCAATATACAATTGTAACAAGATGTTTTTAATGTAGCTTTTTAATAATTGATTTCCATATTTTTCAATGTATTTGAATTTCACCATTTTTTAAACCTTAAAAATGAATATGTTTCAGTATACATTTTTACAGTGTTTTCTTATTGTAATGTACGTTGTTTTGCAGGTTAAATGTTCTGAGATAGCCATATTGTTGGTAGTATATTTTATGAAAAAGCCAACCACTATAACAAACTATCTATTTCAAGAAAGACTGGGAGATATATTTCTTACTATTTTGAGGTTCATAACTGGATTTGAAGGTATTAGATTTTGTTCGTCAATAATCATTAAGTTATATTTCTATAATATACAGTTAATAATTGAGATATTTCACCTGATGAACAATAAAGTCTACAATCCCATCAAAAAAAGATATGACACAATATTTTTAGACTCTGATCAGCTTATATTATCAGTTTTATTATTTTCAATGAGTATTGTAACGCTATACAACATATATACTTTCTATATTTGTTTTGTTGCATGGATTATAGTTTTGGATCTTTTGGATTATCTATTGTTTGGAAATTTGATATTGTTGAAATTTAGTTCCAAAACTTTACAAAGAATAATTCTAGGTGACATTTAGTTGGACACCTGGAAAATAATTGTGGGCTAAGTTAATAATATTCTATGCTAGAGTATTTATGTAAAAGTAACTTAATGTAATAGGGCTTTTATAAATTCCGTGTAAACATATTCTGCAACATATAATCAGTGAAGACATCTTAACATCATCTTCTTGATTATTTACAATGGATAACAACTGTATCAACACTATTTTTTACGAAAAATTTTTGTGAAATTTTTTTAACCCATAATGAGCAATAATATAATTCCAATGCCAAACAGCTTTGCAAAACTTCTATTTGCAACCCAATCCCATCTAGGTGGCTCAAAAGTAACCAAACATATGAAGGGATATGTATTTGGTACCAGACCAGATCGTATTAATGTATTTGATGTCAATAAGACATGGGAAAAGTTTATTCTTGCAGCTAGAGCTGTATGTGGATTAAAGCATGCCGAAGACATTACGGTTATCAGTTCAAAAACATTCGGCAGAAAGCCAATTATGAAGTTTGCCGAAACAACAGGTACAAGGCCATACACTGGTAGATTTATCCCAGGATCTTTTACAAACACTTGTATCAGAAATAGCAGTGAACCAAGATTGATTATAGCATCAGATCCTTCTTTTGACAAACAAGCCATAGATGAGGCAGCTAAAGTCAACTGTCCTGCTATTGGATTCTGTAATACTGATGCAGATCTTAAATACGTAGACATTGCAATTCCACTCAACAATAGATCTCCTCGTGCAATTGGAGTTAGCTTTTTTATTCTTTCCAGGCTGGTCAGGTATATTAAGCGCGGAATCAATCTTGAGGATAACATTAAAGAAGTTGAACTATTCTTTTTCAGAGATGCTATCGAACTTGAAAAATTGCAAGAAGAGCAAGATGACCAAACCGATTTTACATCTCTTTCCAATATAAAGATGGAATCTAGTGAATTTGGTAAAATCCAATCCGAGCAAGAGTCATGGAACTAAATAAATAGTTTTTAAGAATTTATTTTATGTATACTATTCTTTTATTTGCTTTCTCAGATAGTTGATTGCACAATTCAATTTCAAAATCATTCATTGAGTAATTAGCCACTATAAACTCTTCGTAGACATCAATGTTTTTATCTAAAAATTGAAAAAAATTTTGCGTAATTTCTACCTTTACATTTTTAGCATTTCTAAATTGCATCAAATTAATAAAATTAGGCATAAAGTTGGAATATCCTAATAACAGAACAGTTTCTTTTCTGCAGTTTATTATCTTAAAACTCTCTTCTTCTCTATTATTTTTTGCAATTTTGATTGTGAAAGCCATAGCTGAATTTGATGGGCATCAAAAAACTTGTATGTAATAAATTGAAGTTTCACAACAACCTATATTATGGCTTCAGCCTAACTAATGAGAACTACCCAGACGATAAGATATTTCTAACTATTCATATTATGGCCCATGAATAGCTTCGTCAGTCAAATTATAAAAACCTTGTTGTGCCCTCTGCTTTTAAAATAATTAAATTTATTAAGCATAAGTTTTTTTAATTGATCTTTAGAAAATAATAGTGTCTGAAACACCGATCTTCATGTATGATATGCTGCTTTAATATTGCAGTAATTTGCACCAATTATAACAGCCCACTTAATTGAATGCTCAAAAGATATCAAGGATATTCATCGTTTATGATATGATAGTGACATGCTACTCTAGATTATCAGATTGAAGCAAGGTATTTTAGAAAAGCTGTGAATTTCAATATATTTGATGAGAATATGGATTTAAATAATAGTAAGGATACTCTTCCACTCCCAGAGTCAAGCCTTAATATTGGTGAGATTATTATTAGAACTAAGTTCAATGGAATAATTATATATAAATAAATTCCAAACTATGATTTTCCTGCCAAAGATATTGCAAAGTTAAATATAGGATTTATGGATAATGATTAATTAATTCTAACTAAGAATGGGTTATAAATAACAAATGCTACAAACAGCATTATATTATGGATAATGTTTTGACAAAACACTAATTCTAAAATATTTTACCTTTTCATTTGATTGATAAGGATTTAATTACTTCATTTTATAATTATCTCTTACACTATCTGAAAATATATTCAACCGATTTTAAAGTTCCCAATAAACTACTGGTATATGTTAAGCTATTCAAAATTTATAAAATCGCTTTCTATAGATCTTTGAGAAGTTACAAACATTTAAAAATGTTTGTTACCCTAAAATGGAGTCTGAAAATCTTGGTTTAATAATCTCAAGACTTAAAGAATCCGATAGGGAAATCCAAAATATTGCACTGCACACACTTCATGATGATATTAGAGCAAATACTGGAACTATTTCAGCAAAACAACAAGAACTTTTCGATATTGTAGGAAATCTAAAAGATTGCTTACATTATTTAGAAGGAAATGAAAAAAAGCATCTCTGTGATCTTATTTCGGTTTTAAGTGTTGGAGTAGATGCTGGGTCGGCATCTAATGTTCTTAAATATCGTAGTATGGGGAATGTTACTGATTTTGAATGTTGGGGACATCAATATGTAAAACACTTGATAATTGCAATTAACAGAGTGATTTATAAAGAAGATGAATTTATACCTTTTGAAGTATTGATAGAACCGATAGTTATATTTTTATTTAAGCACAACAGTGAAATTGAAGCAATCGATTTTTTGTTGGAAATTGGAGACTTACCGCAGTTAAGACCTATAGACAATGAATCCAATAATTCGGATTGTAAAACTAGAACCCAGATAAGTTTGATTCTTAAATTTGTTGATGATGACAACTATGACCGTATTTCAGTGTATCTGGATGAAATGAGTCGGTTTTTTAATCTGGAAAACATAATTTTAGAAGTTAACAAAAATAAACCCACAAAGCATGTGGTTAATCTGATCAAATTCAACAAAAGTGACCTGGCTATTGAATTTGTGAAGGGTATTTCAGATAGAAAATTGAAAGATCAATGTCTTTATATTTTGGCAAGATGCAATATATTTTATAAGGGAGAATCTGAGGATATGAAAATATTATCCAATTCTCATATTTCAAAGTTTTATTCACAAACAATTGAGAATTTGGAGATCTTGAAATGTAAAAAATTAGATTATGTTTTAAAAGGTTTGAATAAAGACAAGATCGACACTGCAGCTATTTGCAATGGTTTAATTCATTTTGGATATTCAAGAGATCCACTCTTCCTTAGACATAAAGAAGATTACAATATCAAGCCAGAGTATTCTACTCTTTTAATGGGGAGCGAGCTAAACTCATCTGTTTACGCATCTGCAGGGCTAATTAATGCATTTAATCCCTCAAAAGTTTATGAAATGTTTACTGAAGCAATTTTCGAAAAAAAGGATCTTGGCGCAATTTTTGCACTTGCAGTTGCATCCTATAAGACATATGATGTAGACTGCGCAATTATCACAATGCTAGAGCCATACTTGTCATCCCACAATCCTGAGGATATTACAATTGCTTTGGTAGCAATAGGGATTGTATATTCTGGCAATTATAATTGCGATAATGATATTGTCCATGAAAAAATTTTTACTCTACTGACACATGAAAATCCAGAAGTGGTGTCTTTAACCATTTATGTATTAGGATCAGTATATTACGGATCAGGAAATATGGAAATTTTGGGAATGTGTGTGGATATCTATTCTGAATTGAACCTAGATGGCTGTCCATTCATGTTGTTAGCAGTGCTTGGAATATCTCTTTTTTTTTACAAAAGACAAGATTTGGAAAATGATCAAATCATTGCAAGGCTTGATCCATACACGCAGATTCTTGTTTGTGGAATGATGAATATTGGATCAGGCTGCCCACAAGCTTCAGAAATTATACTATCAGAAGCATTAAGTGGAGAGTCAGATCCTCTATTGGAATGTGTTGGACTTGTTGCTCTAACTCTTGTTGGAATGGGTGATCCTGTTGCAACTGAAATGATAGAAAGAATTATTACCAGTTCTCAGCTTTTAAATTCCCCTCATATTTTAAAAACCATACCGCTTTGTATGGGATTGCTCTACCCATCGACAGCCAAACTGGAGGTGATAGATTATTTGGAAAAGTGCCTCAATTCTAGAAATTGCAATGTTAATTCGGTTATTGGCCTGGGGATTCTTGGGGCAGGTACCAATTCTAGCAGAATTCTGGGTATTTTAAATTCTAATTTTAATGCCCTTTACAAGGATACCAAGGCCTCCAACTCCTTAATATTTGCACAGGGATTATTGAATATGGGTAAAGGAATGATTAGTATAAGCCCACTTGCTTATAATAAGCAGGCTATTATTCCTAAATGTGTCATTGGTTTATTGTCAACAGTTATACTTTTTATTGATGAATCCTCAAATATTTTTAAGCACTATTCTCATTTACTTTTTTCCATTATTCAAAGTGCCACACCTAAATATTGTATCGGATTCGAGGGTGAGGTTAAGGTTGGTAAACCTGTTGAAACTGTAGGTCTTACTGGTAAACCTAATACAATTAGCGGGACCGTCATCCATACACTACCTATTGTATTGAATTCATCAGAGAAAGCAGAAGTTTCTGATCTTGTTTACAGTGAATATATTGAAGATATTTTGGTAAAAAAATAAATCATTTCTTCATTTTAAAGTTTTTCTTGAGATCGTGTTCATCGAATGAATTTATTTTAATATTATACAACTACTTCAATCACAATAAATACAAAAACTCAAATAGTCATGGATTTTTTTCGAACATATCTCACAGAAAATTGTCGAACAATCTGGACACGATGAGAATCCCTCTTTGTTACATACTTTACAAAATCCCTCATAGCAATCTAAAAAGGGTTTCAGTGGGTACATAAGCCTATATGACTGTGCTATACTGATGTATGATACCAAATGTAAATCACAAATTGGGCATTTTAATGGAAGATGACAGACAGATGCTTTACATTTTGGACATTCGTAGAGATTTAAAGAAAATTGAAGATGACACACACACATAGCATGCTCTATCATTGTGTTCGGAATTCCTAAGGGAACCAGTGTATTTTTAGTTTCAATTGATTCTAAGGGAAAAGTCATTTCGTGTAAGATTGATTCCAAAAAATGGACATCAATGGGAATGAAAAATTTACCGTTAGATATTTCTGTGATTCGTTTAAATAATGTTACCTCTCCACAAATGCTGATAATATTGATGGTAATTCTGAATTTTTTTATTTCATCAAATATATCACTATATATCCCACTGTCCTTTGTGCCTATAGAAGCAGTAATTATAAGGCATTCCTTAGTATATACACTCTGGTTGAGCTTGTCTATACAGATTCGTAAACAGTTCAGCATCGAAAACTCTCCAGCCCCCACTGAGTTAAAAAGTTTTGGATTGTATTCTTTTGAATATTTGTCAAGCGTATTTTGACATGTAATAAAAGAGAGAGTAGAAAGTGGATTAGTGGAGGTAAAGACATTTGAAAAGCTAGGGACAATTCTTGAAAGCTGGCTTCTTATTGTAGGGACATAATCCGTTTTTTCTATAGATTCCGATGTATCAATGGCCACAAGAAGATGACGAATAATGTTCTTTCTGTTTGGATTGTATGATGACTTATATGCAAATGTTCTTTTGGTGGATTCTGTTTGCAATTCATCCCAAGTTCTTCTGTATTCCTCAGTCCATGAAAATCCATTTACCATTTCAGAATTAAAATTTTTCAAGTTTTTGTTAGATAAGTTCAACAAACAAAGTAAACTGTTGTTGTATAATCAAATAAACATTTTGGTCTGATATCTAGATATCTTAAGGATCTCACCATTGTTTCAGGAAGATTTTGACGATTTGTCCAATTATTTAACATATTCCACTCTAATGCTGATGAAAAACATCTTCAACCGTGCAGTTACAAAATAAATGATTTATAAGCTTCCGAAACCTTGAAAGTTCTTCAGAGTGATTTAAAAACAGCAATTAAAATATACCTTCTGATTTGTTTGTAACTTGTTTTCTGGTTGGATACTTTTCCAATTTATATAAAACCTATACCGAATCATAATCTTCGTGTATTGAAAATTGGAAAGTTTTAAATGGTAAACCTATTTTAATAAAAATAACACAAATGTTGGATTTGTTACCAATAAAATATTTAAATTAAAAAATTTGCCAATAAAAATTTATTGAATCAATATTTTGTAGTACCCAAAAATGTCATTTTTGATTTAGTTAAAACGGTTTCGACGAATTATTTATGCCAATTATGTTTTCTGTTTGAAATCAATCATCACTTGTAAATGACTTCTTGAATAAGCATTTGTGTTTAAAAATGATATGTTTGAATTTGCATTTCTAGAAAAATAAAAATAATTTTTTAGCCCCTTCAATGAACAATAAAAAAGTTGAACACGAGGAAAAAGAAGAAAAATTAATAGATGGAGAGAGGATGGGACTTTGTCAAACAAAGACTGTATCTTCTGTCGGTTTCAAAAGGAGGATGATAGAGGAATGTTTTACAAATGTTAAAATACCCAAAATTGAAGTGAGATCAATCCCAGACCAAGCGAATTGTGCAAGCTGTGATAAAAAGCTTTCTTTTATAAAGACATATTCGTGTAGGTGTGGAAATAACTATTGTAGCTCACATAGATTTGCAGATCAGCATAGTTGCGGGTTTGATTATAAAAAAGAAGTGAAGGCTAAACTGAAGGAATATAACCCAAAAGTGGTTCCTAAGAAGATCAACTAATGTGGGATAGACGTGTAGATATAATTATCGAATAAATCAAGTATATTTTAACCCAGTCAGATTTCTCCTTTTTAATTATTGTTTCCAATAAGCCAAAAGCATTGCAAGTCCAACCAATAGAATTTGGATGAGAGAAATAATCCAAAAGATTCTAAAATATGGTGAATAAATATTTTGTAAGACTAAAAATTACATGGTGATGTAAGTATCAACCTACTTTAAAATCATTATTTGTTTTACTGTTAAATCCACAAATGACTTTCTCATATGAATTTGATGTAAGTAGAATTTATAGAGAAGTGTTTGTGTAAACAACATATTACATTCCAATTGTTATTTGCTTATCAATTTTCATAGTGTAAATGGAGACTAATGTAAGAAATTCGACCTCCACTTCTTATTGCTAAAGAAAACCTTAATGCAGTTTTTCACAAATTTTCTGATATGTATTATATTTGAAATATAACAGTTTTATTTTTATTTATTAAGGCTGAGCTTCTATTTTACTTATTAGGTTACGGAATATTACCAATATATCTTGAAAAGTTGTGAGGTTTAGGTAAATAAGTGAATTGAAAAGATTATTGGATGTATTCTATAAAGCTTAAATCGTAATCTGTTATATATAGTTTCGAAAAGTTAGAAATTTACTTATATCTATGTTAATCACCAAGTTTACAAAAATGCATTGGTAATCTGTATGGCATTTTTATAATAAATCCTAAATGCTCGTACTATCCTCTTCATCTTCTTCATTATTTTTAAATTTCACACCATCACCTATGGAACTAAATGTAGGCAATACATAGTCTATGATATTTTCACCGAACACTTCTTTCCAATTTTGTACTAAATTAATATTATATGGGTTCAAAATTTTTCTATCTTTGGAATCACTAAATCCCTTAATAGGCCCTTCTTGAAACACATGTATATAACTGTGATCACCTCTAATATATGCATCTAATGCCAAAGATTCAATTGTAGTTTCGTTTCGTGAGAGCAATTGTACATGAAGCATTAGTAAAACGCTTGTGCAGATGAGTTCAATACCGTAAAGAGACAGAGAGACAATGTAATTAACATTGATACTAATTATAACGTGATTTGAAGCCAAAAAATCGTATGTGATAATACTGATAAAATATAATACACTGATCAAATTGAAAATAAGAAACTGAATAAAGAATTTATAGTTGTGAAATGCAATACAGGTATCTATGAATGTACAGTGATGGTCATATTTAAGAAAGCATCTGTTGCATGTTGAGCAATGATGGCATCTTGGTGGTTTAAAGGTATTACAAATTGAACAAAATTGGGATTGTTCAATATTTTTCTCCAGCATATTTTCCTTTACAAATGGGTTAATGTTTTGTAGAGCCTCTTTTCTGGTTCTGTTTCCAATATGTGGAAATAGTTCCAGTGTACTTCGTCCCTCTGTAATGAATAGTTGCATGAAGTAGATAATCTTTAGTGTAATCAACACATGATAAATTAAGAAGAGAATTAGAACTACGGTTGAGTTTATTGAAGCTTCTTGTAAGCAAAAAATTCCTAGAAAGACAAAATATCCGTATAACTCTAAAAGTGGATAAATAGAGAATTTAATTAACCTTATCATCTCATCTACAAAGATCTTGTAATCCATTTTGATTTGTGGGTGAATTTACAAGAATAAAATTTATAAACAAACACAGTCAAAAATGGAAATAAAACTTTTAAATAGATCAATCGACTACAGAATATTTTGGCAAATGATTTTTTATGGTAAACACAAAAAGTTCTCCCACTGGGGCTCGAACCCAGGACTTCTGCGTTATTAGCACAGCACTCTATCCAACTGAGTTATGGGAGATGTGAAGTTTTAGAATTCGGTATTTACCATCCGATAGCTATGGAAAACAATCTTTTCTTTATAGACCATTAAATGTATTCCTACAAACTTCTCATCGAAAAGTTTCAAACGGCACTGCTTAAAACAATTCATGAATATCAAAACATAATTATAAAGGGACCAACTGGATGTGGGAAATCAACATTTGTACCATTACTACTTAAAGACAAAAATGTGGCTATTATTGAGCCAAGACGAATTGCTGTCACTTCTCTTTTCAACACACTCAAAACTCAAGTAGAGAATATTGGATATAAGATGAGATTTAATAAAGTATTACTAAAAAATCCAGAAGAAAGTAGAATAATGATCTTTACGGATGGAAGTTTTGTGGCTGATTTGGATTTGGACTACGATTATATTATTATTGATGAGGTTCATGAAAGATCCATCAGGACAGATACTCTTCTCGCAATTTTAAAGCAACGGTTTCACAATAAGCTTATTTTAATGAGTGCAACCTTAGAAACAGATAAAATCCAAAACTATTTTAAGGCAAGGCTGTTTGAAATTCCAGGAGTAAGCCATCCACTGAAAATTCATTATTTAGATAATCCAACAACCGATTATATTGTTGAGGCCTATTTGACGGTGAAAAGAATAATCAAAGCAGACCTGGATAGTAAGTCTGAAATTGATCAAAGAAGAGATATTTTAGTTTTTCTTCCGGGATCTGAAGACATCTACGATCTTTATAAATTGATACAAAAGATTCCTTCCATAATTCCTTGTAAAATATATTCAGCAATGTCTGATTTGGAACAGAGCAAAATTTATGAGGTAAATTCGAATAGAAAGGTTATTTTGTCTACAAATATCTGTGAGACGTCTTTGACTATCCCTACTGTCAAATATGTTATAGATTCAGGGTTGTTTAAAAATAAAGTATACAATGGAATAAGCTACTTGGGTATTCAGTGTATTAACAAGGATAGCGCTATCCAAAGAATGGGTCGATGCAATAGATTAGGGCCAGGTATTTGCTACAAGTTATACACTGAAAATACTAAGTTACCAGTATACACCCCTGAAATACTTCATAGTGACCTGACAACTGTATTGCTTCATTTGATTGCTATTAAAATCGACTTCTTGAATATGAAGTTTATTGATTCTCCACCATTGGAAAACGTAATGTCTGCAATTGAATTCCTACTTACTAAAAGTTGCATAGAAATCTACAAAGAAAATAAGAACGTTTGCCAATTATATGATTTAGAAGCTGAAGAAAACTTAGAATCTGAAAATAGCACATCAAATATTCAATTTCGAATAACACCACTTGGAAAACGATTAGTAGCTCATCCATTCGATGTTCATTTAGCTAATTTCTATGAAAAAACTCTTGAACTAAGCATTGGCTACTATGGAAGTTGTATCCTATCACTAATCAGTTTAGAAAACTATCATTTCTTATCAGGATCTGACTCTTACGATATCATCGCACTTATTGAGCTTATGGAAAAATATAGGACAGTGGAAGACAAATATAAATTCTGTATATCCAAGAACATTTCATTCAAGGGTATGGAAAGGGCCTATCGAGTTTTTAAAACCCTAAATAAAACAAAATCAACAGAAAATTTCGAACTTGTGGAAAAGGTTTTCAGTAGCTCATTTAACCATAATTTGTGTATTAGGCAGATTGATGGTTCCTACAAAATGGTAAGAAATGATCAGATCATATTCATTCATCCATCGAGTGGTTTTTTCAAGAAGAATTTAAAAAAAATTGTGGTAGTTGATATTTTTTGTACAACGAAGATGTATGCTAGGGTTGTAGGGAGATACCTTGGGAATGAAATTGGTTGATTATTTATACATGATGGGTTATTCTCCACCGTTATTTATGCACTGTAATTATCAGAATAAATAAACTTTATGATTAAGATATAATATTATCCTAAGAATTCAACAATTATTTTTTGAATGTCACATGCTAAAAACAACTTACTTTAATATGTATATGATCAATAATATTAAACTTGCTTTATTAAATAGCCATCTTCATTTTTATGGTGGGATGTGGCTCATAATCGACCAATTTAAAATCTTCAAATTGAAAATCATCGATACTTTTATATACTCTGTCTTTAAGCAAAAGTTTGGGAAATTTTCTGGGTTCCCTGGATATCTGTTCTTTCAATGCTTCCACGTGATTTTTATAAACATGAGTATCTCCAATAAAATGAATAAATTCTCCAGGCAATAAGTTGCATATTTTAGCAATCATAATTGTTAAGATTGAATAGCTAGCTATATTAAATGGAATACCAAGTCCCATGTCACCTGATCGTTGATATAAGATACAATTAAGTTTTCCATTAGCCACCTGAAACTGAAATAGACAATGGCACGGTGGTAATGCCATTTCTTTTAATTGAACTGGATTCCATGATACAACCACAAGTCTTCTGCTTGTAGGATTAGATTTTATTTGATTAATTACATTTTGAAGTTGATCGATTCCTTGATTGGAATAGTCATCATTACAAGATTTATACCTAGCACCGTAATGTCTCCATTGAAATCCATATATTGGCCCCAGATCATTTTCTTCTCTGTCAATAGCATTTTTGGCAAAAAATTCTTTAGAAGAATTTCCAGTCCAGATATTAATCTTTTTGTCTGTAAGTATTCTATTATTAGTCTGAGCTCTTATAAAGAAGAGTAATTCTTCTAGAACTATTCTGAATTGAACTGTTTTTGTGGTTAAGAGAGGTAAAACTTCATTCTCGAGGGAAAACCTCATAGATCTACCAAACAACCCAAAAGTTCCTGTGCCTGTTCGATCTTCCTGGAATATACCGTTCTCAATGCAATCTTTAATAATATCTAAATACTGATGTTCATCATAGGTATTTTTCATAATGGGGATGGAAAACGAATGTAGTTTTTATAATTTTTTCACATATTGGAAATAAATAACTGCACAACTGTAAAATAATTTTCTATTTGTAGCAAGTGATCTAGTATTCATCTATTTTAAATTAAAAATTAAAAGAGAACAACAAATATCCTATAATAATAGTTGTTATGAGAAGATTGCAGAATGAAAAATAGTTTCTAAGGATAATGGTGGTGACTAAGAATTTGGATAAAATATTTTATTTTGAAATATTGTTATATAATCAAAATTTAGCTGGCTGATGTATGTACAATTTCTTAAGTTCTTTGAGTTTGTAAATAATGAAAGCTGAAATTAAACTCACTCTATACAAGTGTTTAATTTGGTATAATAATATACATTTTTATGAGTTGATACCATACATTCTACAAAATTATCCAGTGGATTAACTACTTTTCCTAAACGACATGAAGTACATCAAATATTTATTTGTTGTAAGCAGATAAAACAAGTTGGTCCTATACACATAGTCTTATCTATCAAAATATTTCAATATAGCTGTTTTGTGTCTAATTAATTCTCTTTTTCCTTCTTTAGTAGATAACTTTTCCGAGGTTAAAAGCAAAATCTCGCTAAAATCCATGCTAAAATCAATTTTTGGAAAATATACTTCGAGAAATGTTTTTAGACACATTATGCTTGATTCTGAAAACTCTACAATATTGTTATATTTTTGAATTTTCAATGTGAAATTTACATCTACAAAAAAAGCATGTATATCAATAATTAAAAATCCAAAGTTCATAAAATCTAAATTACTTTGAATTATCTTTGCTGCATAGTAATACTGGACATACTCATGAAGCTCACTAGGCTGGTCAAATAAATCAAACAAATTTGCTAGTTTTTCAAATTCACACATTAAATAGATAGTACCCATCGTTATTTTACAAAATTTAAATTTACAGAAATAGCTACGATACTTTTGAAGAACTTCAGAATTCACTCCTATCAAAATGTATTCACTCGCAAGAATCGTATGGGATTCTTCCAATGAATCTTTTGCAATCTTGAGAATCTTTATGCTTTCTTTATCAACCTCTTTAACTATATATACAAAATCATCTATGTCAAGTCTTTCACCAGTTAGAAATTCACCTATAATTTCATGAGCCACTAATTCATCAGCTTTAATATTACATTTCTGAGTAGTGATTATATCTTGTTTTATGGCATTAACTTTATCATGATTAATATTCTGATGTTGATTTATCGGCTTGCATAAACTATTTAGTTCATAAAATTGGAAACTGCTTTCAATCTTATTGTTTGAGAAGCTATTGGAAGAATTAGAGTTATTTTTACTATGAAAATGAATCGATTCGAAACAGGAGTCTGAATTAACATTTTTGTTCGAATCGTTTCCAGAAAATTTTCTATCTGAGATCATGCTGTTATTAAATTGTTTAAGATTGTTGATCTCAATATTATTTTCCTGTAACGAATAAATCGAATCTTTTTTTACTGATTCATCTGTCTTGATCATATCATCGATTTGATTGTTATTGACATCAAAAGTCTCACACGTGTCTTTCTCAATACAGCTTACCTGTTCCTCATACAATACATCGATTGTTTCTGTTGTTTCGATGATATTTTCCACTTCACAATGGCTTGGATCATCTTTGCTCTGATAATCCATAGTAGATATATCTTTCAGCGAAATGGGCCTTACTTTCTTCATATTTTTATTCTGATCCGATATTTCTCGCTGATTCCATATTTTCCCAAACAATTTGATATTATGTTTTTGCAAGATACAATATAAGTAGTTTCTGGGGTGTTTGGACTCGAATGGTTCTATCTTGTCTATTTCTAACTTTATTACATTTTGATCATAAACACAGCCATTTAAAGCCATTTTTAAAATCTGGCTTGCCAATTCATGATCTCCAATATCCTCAAAAACCTTTGCTAACTCCACATATATCCAGTGGTAGTAAGTGGAAATCTTCTTCTGAAACATTAAGAGTAAAACATTTGGATCATTAGTATATTTGTAATACTTTCTCCATCTGTCTATATAGGTTGGATTATTTCTAAAATATGGAATGTCAATATATTTTATAAGTTCTTGCTGATATTCAGTAAGCCCAATGGTTTTTTTCTCAGATTCTTCCAAATGAGACATTGCGAAGGGTGAAAACTAGCTTGTTAAGAAAGATAAAAATCAAATACTCAACATTTTGTTATTGAATAAAGATACAATACAATTCTAATATTTACCATTGTGCTTGTCCAAGATTTTAAATAATAATTGAACACCAATTATTTCTTAGCGAGTTATTTTATCTTTATAAGATATTTTCCACGATAAATTTTTACCGAAATAACTATTCCTATTATGTAGAGCCCTTTTAAAAGTTTATTAGCCCTTAGAATGATGATATTTGGATGATGTGGAGTTGCAAATGGAACTCATTACTTCATTGAATAGTTTTAAATTATTTCTTCCTAATTTTATTACTTTCTATCAAATATTTGCTAATGTGAAGTTTCACTCCAAAAATTTTTATCAGCATATATTTGTAAAAATTCTTCAAAAAACTTTTACCGTAAAATTTAATGGCAATTTCAAAAACTATTAAAGACCAAAAAACAACTTTTCATTGCGACATATGCTTTAGAAATGTTTCTAATTTGGCATTTTTAACATGCAATGACTGCAAGTATGATTTGTGTGGGAAGTGCTTCACGAAAAATTATAAAAAAGAAAAATATTTAGAAATTAATAAAAAAATTAATTTTAAAGAACAAGATAATGATGCCAAGATAGTAAGAGACTATGAATCAGACATCAACAAGGAATATTTATACAATGATAGGCGTGTTGATACGAATGATTTCCACAAAAACTCAACTCTTAAAAACCATCAATGTCTTCATAGGTATCGAGTAGTTGCCAATCTTAATAAAAGCTGTTTTAATGCTTCCTGGTCAGTTTTGGAAGAATTGCTCTTTATTAATGGCTTAATAAATTTTGGAATTGGGAATTTTGTTGATATATCCTCAATAATCACAAATAAAAACGAAACAGACGTTAAGATGCATTTTTTTGAAACTCTTGGGATACAGAACAACACATATAATGAAAAAGACAATAACCCAAAGAAAAGTTTGCCCAACGACTCAACTGTTTTAAGCTACATGTCAAAAAGAAAAGATTTTGAATCAGAAATATGTAATGAATATGAAGCTATAATATGTGGATTGGCATTTGAACCTGATGATAATGAGCTGGATAGAGCTCTTAAGGAATTTATGCTTTCCAACTTTAACTTTGTTTTTAAGCAAAGAGCAATTTGGAAAAATTATGTAATTGATCGAGGGTTGATCAATGTAAATGAAATTCGATTAGTTGACCAAACTGGATTTGGCACTTATGTTGCTAAACATAGATGGGCTCTTCAATATTTGTCCAAAAATGATTTTAACACCATTATGAGTGGCATCTATCGAGAAAAAATACTAGGAGAAGAAATCAACAAATTATCAGCATCTGAATCGATTGATCAGGTAAAATTGGAAAACATTAAAAATTTTATTGGAGCAAATGAAAATAAACTGTGTGAGAAGTTGAAAATGTCTCACGAACTATATTTTAAACTAAAAGTTCTTGCAATTGAATGTTATACAGCGAATCGAATGTTAAATAACGAAATATATAGATTATTTCCAGAAAAGGAAAGAGTCCGCATAGAAATTATCTATAATTGGTTTAAAAAACACAATTTTGTCCATGAGTAGAAGATAGGATTGGTTGGGCCAAGTAATCTATAATCCCAGATACTAATGTGTATTTTATATTTTAGGGGCTTAGAAATTATGTAAATACGAAATAAAGGATAAGCAGTTAATTTGAAATAGTATGAAATTAATATCTATATATAATGGAAGATGTCTTAATTGAGATTTGAATTTTGAAAATAGACCCTTTACTCTTGAATACCAAATATATAATATCATTATATTAAAAATTAATTTAATAAATCGAAGATTATACTTTAATGTAGTCATCACCACATCAGCAGTTGTAAATTAAAAATGGATTTTGTAATATATAGAAGCATATAATTTTTGCATGAAAAAGTTAATAAAATTATACTTTAATCGCTCTTCAGCTATTATGAGCAATAAATATCAAACAGATCAATCTGCTAAAAAAATATGCAGTGAGATTTCTAGAATTGTAGTATTTTATAGGCAGATTTTAATCTTTGAAAGTAAAAACTTTGGATTATTTTGAGAGTTCTAATCAAGAATAGTTCCCTGATATTCATAAAAAAGTTATAATAATACTAATTTTTAACCTATTAAATCATTAAGTTTATTTCAATGATTTTATCGATCAAGGGAGTTATATTATAAAAAGTACCAAAAAGTAAAGTGTTTTCACTCATTACTACGAATATGGTTTAATAATCACAAAATACCTACATTGTGGATGTTATTAGCTCCATGTAAATTTTAAAATATTATTTAATTTAAGTATTCCAACTAAACCTTTCTAAGAAATTAATTTGTTATTGTTAACAAAAATATTGATAAAACAGCTACACGAATCACCGAAATCGAATCATACTTCTGAAAAGTTATAACATTTTAAATTATTATGCCCCATAAAACCATTATGAAGGACCATATTCATCAAAAAAAGATTTTTGTCGATATCAAACAAGTAATATTTAATGAATCGCATGAAATCAGCTCAATGGCATTCTCTTTTAATGACTCTATAACTCCGTTTGAAAATACTCTATCCATAAACATAGACAATCTACATGATATATTGTTTGGATGTATAAAAATATTGTTTTTTACTAAAACGGGAAAGAAAGAGTCGATTTTTGCAGGATCCAAAATTTATTTAAAATGCTTCTTCGAAAGTGAATACCAAAGTACTGCATCAACAGTGATTTTGAATAAAAAAGAGATAGACAAGTCAGATTACTACAATCCGGATCTAAAGTTAATTGGTACTCTAAAATGGAATTTCAGAGAAGAGAAATTCGATGAATATTTAGAAACAAAGATTCAATCTACTTTTGTAGATCGTATATTTGCAGCATATTTTTCAGAATCTAACGAAGCAATTTTGGCAAAGGTTTATAGGCTACTTTGTGGTGCCAGAGATGGTACTTTATTATGTCATTTTTGGGCAGTGGTTGGAATGCTCCCTGCAGACTATTATTACTCTACAATCCACGGAAGATGCAGCAGCACAGATTGTAAGGGTGTTGAGTGTAAAAATGAGTTCTGTAAAAATGGATACAACCTAATTCCAAGTGGCAAAATAAATGAGGGGCATGAATGGATGCAAATGGCAGCTGCCAGCTATGGTGACTCATTTCCAGCCTGGAATCTGAAGCCTTTAAAAAAAAAACCAGAAATAAAAGACAAAAGATTGAGATCAATTTTGGAGAGAATCGAAATCGATGAGGCAGACTTTGATATGGATTTCTCTGGAAAGGAAAATGTGCCAGCTTTCATTTCATTTTTTAAAAAGAGCCAAGGAAGCTCAGTGGTTGATACACTGGTAATAAGTTTTAAAGGAACCACAAATGGACTAGATGCATTATATGATTTGGAATGCTCATATGTAGAGTTTCAAGATGGATATACCCATTCTGGAGTTAAGAAATTGGCAGATGGATTTTTAAATAAGTTTTGGGATATTTTTGATCTGAAAATGCAGTCGAGGAAGATTACAATAGTACACCTTACAGGCCACTCATTAGGAGGAGCAGTAAGTATATTAGTTCATTTGAGATTAAAGGAACTTAATGTCAAATACTTTCTTAAAACTGTATCTTTCAGTTCACCACCTGTTGTATCTGAAAACATTGCTCGAAAAAGTAATCCAAATATTGACATGTGGTC